TGTGCGTGTCGCTTCGTTGATCTTAGTTTGATTTTCTCGGACCGATAATGGCCCATAGCTCATATATGAAGGATATCAATGAAATTAAGTATCTCTTAAGCGACATTTGGACTCTCTGAATGAATGTTCAATGATACTACAGAACATGGATGATCGGATGGTAATGCCGAGATTGTGGCAGTTGGTCGATCAGTCCGTTGACAGCAAAATATATTCCCCTGCTCTCTGCTCTCATCAGCCGGTAAAAAAACGATGACGTTACGTCCCCCTGCGGTTTTGGGCGTTGGTCGCAGAGATGTTAAATTTCATAAGGTCTTTTTTTTTTTTTTTTTTTTTTTTTTTTTTTTTGTAAAAAATATGCTTTATATAGTGCACAAGGGCCAATCCTTGCCCTTTATTCCCGTCCCCCTCCAACCCCTCAACTTGTCTCAGGCAACACTTATTATTGTTTGAGACTATCAAACTCGGATCGTCTGGCCGGGAATCGTACCCGGGACCTCCCGATCATAGAGGCGGCGCTACAACCATTACACCATATACTGCCTTGCAAAGGAAGAACGCCGTATGAACCTTCAGGCGTTCCCACATTTTCTTTGAAAAACACGAATTTCCTGGTAAACTCATGAATATTTTCCCTCCACTTTTGCAGATAATTTCGGTCGTAATTCCACCGAAAAGTCCTGAAAATTTCAAGGGAAAATATTCATAAATTTCTTCAAAAATTAACATTGTATCGAAGGAAATTTGGCAACCCTTGAATGTTCATACGGCGTCCCACATAGCACAGAATATTGATATAATACTACAATAGTACTGACACGTCAGTAGTGTCAGTATTTATAAAATGCTGATGTATCCTGATTTAATATTATATCAAGACTATGCCAGTATTTATTAGTTACTGATTTGGAGCTGTCAAAATATTGTTACAGTATTGGCCGAAAAGGTTGATTTCATATGGAAATCAGGGTTATGACAAGGTCATCAGAAACACTGCAGGACACCGACAATATGTATGCGTTACTACCTTAACACTGACACGTCTGTACACTCAGCGCACTCTGTCAAGTAGATATGAAAGTTCAGACGATGACCGTCATTTTCATAGTACTACACATGTATTACATTTGAAACATGAATTACACAAGTATACAAGTATTGAATATTATAAACCACTTACTTGATGTCCTGCGACGTTTAGTAGCGTAAAATACCCGGACGCCCTCAGGTGGATTTGAACCCGAACCGCGGAATTCCTAGCCCAGTATTCTGCCATTGAGCCACAAGGAACTGATGGTGTTCCGGGTTAAAATCACGCCTGCTAAGGCTGTTATAGCATGCATAGCATCAGTGCGCGTCTCGACTTTCATCATAACTTTGATTAACACCGTGTTTTCTTAGGCTTCTTTTTCTTCCTATATTTTTTTTTTCATTTTTTCGTGTTAATTTCTTTTCGTGTTATTTTTTTTTACCTCGTCAGCATTGACTCAATACTGTTGTTTGATATATTGAGGGTATCAGTGTTATATTCATGCTGACGCGGTATACCTTTTAACCGACAATCTTAATATCATACTGCATTAGTGTTGATGATATCATGTCAACATCCAACAATATGTATCAGTATTGACATAAGATTCTGTGCTATGTGGGGTTCTTCCTTAGCACGGCAGCTTAGGAGGCCGACTATTTCGAAATTTCTTTCAAAATTCATTACTTAGAGAATACTAATTCGAGGAAGGGGATCATACAAAACGTTAGGTTTTTTTCGTCTTCTTTTTTGAGTAGTGCAGTATGTTACAGGTGGGTTATGAAGATGAGGGAGAAAGAAAAAAATCTGCTCAGAATTAGGTATTTTATAGCTCCTCTAAGCACCCACCCACACACACTTTTTTTGAGGCGAACGTGCGGCGTTCGTCTTAAAAATTCACATGAAGTATCAAATTTGCAATGCGGCACGGAAGAAAATGAAATTGCTGATTCAACAATTTTGTGGTTAAAAGAAGTGTTCGACGTGTTTCATTGTAGATTTTACTATTAAAAAATGCTAATGCAACCACCCCCCTAGCTCAATTAGCTTTTGATTATTGAAAAAGGACATTTGAGGGGCGTAAGTGCAGTTTCTGCTATTCCGAGAAATGCGTGTTTAAAGTTTCGAAATTACATAGATCCATGGCGGAGAGAAAGCTCAAACTGACTCTTTCATGCTTTAAAATTGGAAAGGACTACGTGCAAAACGGGCCATTTGGGGCTCGAGGCGGATACTTTTGAGACTTGCCCTATTCATTCATCTAACAATGCCTCATCTTTTCCCAAAGTTTCAAGCCACCCAAGAAGGAGCGGAAAGGAGCGAAGGTCGGGAAAATCGGCTATTTTAAACTGCGCGCGCGGCGTTGATCGGAGGGAAAACGTCCCCTCCCACTCAGTTCGGCGAATCACACTCCTCTGCCGACCTCGCATTGTTGCCACATGTCTCCTAATCCGTCACCGCGCGCAGTTTAAAATAGCCGATTTTCCCGACCTTCGCTCCTTTCCGCTCTTATAACTCGCGACCAAAACATTTCCCCAGCATGCGGTAAAGAGCTAGAGGGGCTACAGAGAGTCAGGAACAATATATCAGTTTTTCACGAAAATAAAAAAATGGCTCTTTTTTAAATCGGCCCAAACGTGAAAAAATAAGGGGTCTTTTTTGAGCGTTCCGGCGCTTCGGAGGCGATAATTCGAGCTGAAGTTGACAAAACCCTATGATGTTATACATTTTCTGAAAGCTCTCGTCACGCTGAATACGCTCGTTTAAACTGCATTTTCCAAAACTTCTTGGTTTTCGAGTAATAAATTCGCGAACATTTTGCCGGTTTTTAACTTTGACCCCCTGCCGCGTCTCCCCAAAATTTTTGGGGGGCTTGAAACTTTGGGAAAAGATGAGGCATTGTTAGGTTAATGAATAGGGCAAGTCTCAAAGGTATCCGCCCCGAGCCCCAAATGGCCCGTTTTGCACGTAGTCCTTTGGAACGAATTTTCCACAGAATATGCATTAAGACTAGTTTTACTTAATATCATTAATATCTTAATTTTTTCAAAAACTGCATTTATGCGCCTTGTCCTCCAAGCCCCTCATTTGGAACAAGTCGGACAGTTTGTAGGTAAGTACAAAACTGTTAAATCATGCACCAATTTAATTTTTTCGGTGTATATTCACATGCATTTTAACTCACTTTTTACGGGTTGGTTCCGCAGCCTGTAGCAAATCACGCCGATGATTTGCAAGTTCAACTGACAATGTTTTTTTTTCCAACGAAGTTCATCTCATAAAAAATTCAAATTTGAATTTTCATTTTTTTGTTGGTTCATAAGCAGCCTCATTCATTCGCATAAGTTAGCATTAGTTTCATAAGTTTTACGTGAAATTGCCACAATATCTCCTTTGAAATTTTCCGTCACTCAGCGGAGCTCTAGTGAGAAACACCTAAAAAGAAATCTCATGCTTACTTTTTGGTTTGGCAACATCGTAAAATTCGAGACAGCCTTATACATCTCGAAACATCGACCGATCGATTTGGGCACATTGCTAAAGTTTCGATCTCTCGCTCGACCACGTTGGATTTTTGGAGGTAATGCCGTTGTAGGTAATGTCCTGCCCCCGCGAGGGAATAGGCTGACACGATGCTCTTAGAGCCGTCAATAAACAAACAAGATGGCCGTTATCAGCAAGCAAAATTGAGGTTATGCACATCTTACATCCTCCTGTGATAAAGGTGAAAGGCAATTTAACAATGTTTTCATGTGTTTTTCGTGTGCTATTAGTAGATATGCTCGTTTAAATTGTTACTGCCGCATAATGGACCAATAGACAAGGTACGAATTTAAGCATTCTAATACACGTTTCTTGACCAGAATTTCACGTAGAACACGATTCGCGCGACGAAAATTACCAAAATCAACTTCTAACAAAAATATTAACGTTTATATTTCATATTGGTTACGAGGAGTTTGAACTGCCCGCTCACAAGAAACTCAAAGCTCTACGTGAGTCAAATCGTGCACTTCAACGGTTTCAGCAAGCTTCTCAATCAAGCGATGTTCATTTCCCACCATGTGCTGTTCAAACTATAAACAACTTGCAATCGCTGAGCTAAAGCGTCAAGATTAAGGTTGCCAGATTTTTATATCGCAGAGACTGTCATGATAACGTTTAGCGCGCGATGTGAGTCACGTAGAGCATTGAGTTTTCATGAGCGGGTGGTTTGAATTCACGCATCCAGAATCATTAAATATCTTCACAACAAGTTGATTTCGGTAATATTCGTTGTGCGCATCGTGTTCTACGTGAAATTTTGGTTATGAAACGTGGATGAGAATGCTGGAATTCGTGCCTTGTCTACTGGTCCATTGAAATTTTTGTCAAATTTAGCTTCTCATCGATGTTACGGTGAGCCGCCAACTTGTTTGTTTATTTACGGCCCTAAGAGCATCATGTAGCCTAAAAACTCGTTGACCAATCAAAAAGCGGAACAGTTTTCTTGTAGTAAAAAGATACGAATGGCCATACTCATGTTCATGTCAGTCTATAAAGGTACTCTAACTCTAGTTTCCATCATGAAATGCATGAAATGTACATTTTTTGAACAGCGCGCCAGTCCGTTTACTTTTCTACGTCACAGGAAATCTTCAAGATGGCTGCCTTGCCACCACCTACTGTATTTTCCATTGACGTATAATACAATCTAGACCGCGCATTAGGAAATTTCGGCGAGACTAGGCTCCCTTCAAGCGAGACGATAGGCAACCTAGCAACACCCAGCAAGTGTACCGGCGAGACAACGGTGGAATTCGTGGAAATGCTAGTCTTGCCAGTGCCGTTGCCTGATACGGGTACACTTAGCTCGTATATCCGGCGGTATCAACTAGGCTGAAGGCGCGTCTTTACCCCCCTAGCTGTCTTACCTTCCCCGCCTAAAGTCGGGCCCAATGCGCGGTCTAGATTGTATTATAAGTCAATGGTATTTTCTCTATGGTTCTCGGTCAACTAATCAATTTCTTGTTTGATTTGTCTGATAAAGAAATATCTAAAAAGTGTATTGTGTTACTTTCAAAATGAAGTGTATATGTTTGTGTAATTTAGTTATTTGACACAATCCCAACCGTGAAAATGACTGACTCTGAGCACAGAACACTGAACGGAACTGCCCCTGATGATGGTTCAGACGAGCAACCCACCGAAACGGACGAATCTGCTTATAAGAAAAGCACCAAATACGATAGTGGAGCTAAGGATTTGGAAAGAGTCACCGATTATGTAGAGGAAGAAGAAATATTAAACTCCAATGACTTAAGCAGCGTAAGAAATCTCACCCATGTTACATAAGTAATGGTCTAAGACAGAATCCCCATCAATTGGACTGCATTTTGCTATTTGGACCTATAAATTCTGGCTCATCTGAAAAAACACTTATGTGCGTAGGGAAACCAATGGCACATACGTTGTTTTTAAACCGGGCCGGAATTTATAGGTCCAAATTACCAAATGCAGTCCAATCGAACTTCCTCAGTTATGCGCCTGTTATACACCATCTATAGGGTCAGTGGACCCCCTATGGACCCTTTAAGCACTTTTTTAGAGGAAAAAAATCATTTACTGTGTGGTTTAATCGCAGATGACTTTGAATAGCCAATTTTATCTTTAAGGATGCATGTAAATAACATCCCATTCGCCAGATTTGAATTTGGTCAATTAGGTTTTTTATAATGCAACAATATCCAAATTAACTTGAAATTCACCCCCTATGGACACTTTGCGCCCATAGAGAACAAAAAAGGAGGTGTTTGCATTTCGGGCATCTTAGAATATTTTGATGACGTAGGTGGGTACAGCCACGTCCCATTCACGCCGTATCCACCTACGTCATCAAGTCATCAAAAAATTCCAAGATGTCCGAAATGCAAACACCTCCTTTTTTTTCTCTATGCTTTGCGCCAACACCACCGAAGTTCACCAAACAACCTGAAAATCGTGTCGGCTGTTCTCTGGGATCAGCTGAATGATGAGAAAATTTTCATTTCATGATTGGTTATGTTGTCACCTTGTTTTTTAACCTGAAACAACTAAGGGTCCATAGGGGGTCCTGTGTCCATAGGGGGTCCACTGACCCTACTATAAGCTCCAAGACCTCCTAATTTTGCGAAACTGGTAACGCTTAGTTCCAGAGTTCTACCGCGCCGATTTTCATGATTTTTGCGGCTATCGACGGGCAATTGTCTCCAGATAAGCCAACTCTTTTCAGATTTTCATAATATGGCCCAGGTTTTTTTATCTTACGTGGTAAAGTTGTGTATTCTCCCATTTAAACAATGTAAATTTCTACTTTTTGTCATAGTTTGTTTGAGCGTTCTGCCGGGCCGATTTCCATGATTTTTCCATTTTTCCATAAATCGACTGGTGATAGGCCCTAGATGAGCCCGCTGTAATCAGATTTTGGAAAAAGGACCCAGGTTTTTTTAAAATCACGTTATAAAAGTGAGTGAGTTTACAGAATGCTCTGGTACTGCTACCGCTATGCGCGGGAGGATGCGCAGTGGTCGAGGAGGTTGCGCAGTAGCTGTGTAGCCTGCGCATCAGCCCTACACTCTTCTACACAAGATTCGCACTGGCGACTTCATGTTGAGCGGTGGCCGAGTTGTCTAAGACGTCGAATGCGTTCACCATGAACTCGGTGTGGGTTCGATCCCCGACTCCTGAAATCATAATTATTCCCTGACTATCATTTTTCATTGTGTTACTGCAATATTTCATCAAGCAGTCATTCCAAAACGCGTCCTTTTAATGTTAAAGTAATTTTAAGTAAAGTTTAAAATATAAGTATACCTCATATCGTAATTTTTAGGGGAAAAATAAAACTAACACTCATAGGAGGGTAAAAATAGGGCCGCGAAGCACCCCATTGATGGCGCAAAGCGCCCTCAGGGGGTTGGGCCGCGTAGCGGCCATTAGTATCAGTTGTGCTCTTTAAGAGTGCAGCAGAAGACTAGCAATCTTCAGTTTAGCTTTTCAACTAAACACTAAAAAAAAAAACCACTAAGAAGTGGCCAGAACTGTATGTAACATGGTGGAGAAATGGTGCTGGGTCCACACCATTTCGTGGGGTAAGCAAAGCCAAGAAGTTCCAAAAACTATAATTAGAGTAAAAAATAAATTGTTAACTCTGATGAGTACCTACCAGTACAAAACAGTGGGGGAAAAGTGTTCAGCTCAGGCAGTTTTCATTTGAATATTAAGTTGAGGTCACGCCTAGAAATATATACTAGATTGGGTCTTTTCAGACCTCATCAGTAGATCACACTCGTCAGTGAACCCAAATTAGCATCCCACAAAATTCAAGACGGCATTAAACGCCGTCCTGATTATGATCGGAGCATGACACAAAAGTGTGATTCTTGCGCCATCTATCGTTGCTGCTGAACAACTCTAATAACATAAGGTAAACCCAAAAAAATGAATATCAGACTGGTTGGAGGTGCCAACGCATCTAGACTCAACCGCTTGCTCCTGAACGGGAATTTAATAATAATAATAATAATAATCATTTATTGTTTCTTTTGATTTAAAACAAAAGATTACAAAGTCAAAGTAAAAATTGTTATAAATCTAATATACATAATTTACTCTAAATATTCATCAATACTATAGAATACATTCTCCTTACAAAATGTATCTACTCTTCTTTTGAAGGTGCTTCTCTCTTCAATTTCTTTAATATATCTAGGGAGTTTGTTGTATATTTTTGAGCAATTGTATTTGGGCCCTTTGGCAATCATTCCTCTTGGTATCTCTGATATACTTATGTCCACATCATTTCTACCGCTATAGTTCTCTTTTTCTCTATTAAATTCGAAGTAGTGCTTATTTCTATTTACAAACAAAACTGACTCCCTCATATAAATATTGTATACAGTCATTAATTCATTTTCTTTGAATATCAGTTTACATGTTTCTCTTTTTTTAAGTCCAAAAATGTTACGAAGTACTCTTTTCTGAAGTTTAAATACTCTATCAACTCCTTTCGAGTTTCCCCAAAACATTATCCCATATCTTATCGTCGAGTAGATGAAGGCATAATAAAGCTTAATCAAATCAGCTCTGTTTTGTAAATGTCTTAGTCTATTTATTGCATAGCTGTAGGATCCTAGTTTTTTTACTATCGCGTCTATATGCTCATTCCATTCAATATTTTCCTGTATTATTAGTCCTAGTACTTTGTGTTTATTCACCCTTTCGATTTCACCCAGTGGTTGGCTGTCTTTCCATTGAATCAAGTTCACTTCGTGCTTTCCGTTTTTGCCGAATAGCATGTATACTGATTTTTCCGTGCTGAATGACTGCGACATGGCTGAATATAGTTCTCTTAGATTAATTACATCCTTCTTCACTAATTTCCAGTCTTCCTCGTTTTTTAGTTGTTTGAAAACCACTGTTTTGTCATCTACATAATCCACAGCCGAGCCACTCATTAGTACATTATTTACATACATTACATAGATTATAAATAAAAGCGGCCCTAAAATACTACCCTGGGGGACTCCATATTCGTTTAATAATTTCATTGAGATGTACGTTTTTCCTTCTACTTTAACTTCAGCATATTGAAGCCACTGATGTAAATATGACCGTAAGACACTGCCCGCTTTTCCTCTTATGCCTACTTTCTCCAAAATTTTTAACAGCAAGTCTCTATCAACTAAGTCAAACGCTTTTGTTAGATCACAAAACACTGCTAGATTTGGGTGTTGTAAATCATCCTGTGTAATTTCGTCTAATATCTCAAACAAAGCTTCCGTCGTTGAGCAGTGTTTCCTGTAACCAAACTGCTTCCTGCAAAAGACCCTATGTTTTTCTAGGAACTTATATACCCTTTTATAAATTAATTTTTCAAATATTTTGGAGAAATTAGGCAGCAGTGCTAGTGGCCTGTAGTTACTGTACTCTGACGGTTCTCCTTTCTTGTAGATTGGAATAATTTTTGCAATTTTTAAGGCAGATGGGTACTGCCCACATTCTATCATAAGATTGAAAACTCTCGCTATTATTTCACGTGTGTGTTTGACTGATTTTTTTATAATCTGGATGGGGATTTGATCTTCACCCACTGAACTTTTATTTTTCAGTTCATTTATAATGGTCTCCACTTCATAGATATCCGTCGGATGTAGTACACATGTATTTTCTATTCTAGGTACTACTGCTAGTGGATCTAGATTGCTTTTGATGAGAGTAACCCTTTCTTTTATCGTCGTTGAAAATTTATCGTGTTGATTCATTATTTCATGCGGTGGTATTTCATTCCTATTTAAAATAAAATTATTTAAACTTTTTTCTTTAAAATTTAAGTTTCTCTTCACTTGATCCCACAGAGTTTTTGACGGATCTTTACTATTGTTGATTGCTTTTTGAATATGCTCCGACTTTTTTCTTTGTAATAATGTCAAGCATTTTCTTTGAAAACTTTTAAAACTTTCATTGGCCTCTTCTGAGTCATTTGAGTATCTTTGTAGTATCAATAGCCATTCTCTTGCCTCCTTCACTTCAGAGTCTATCCAAGTTTTCCTTTTTCTGTTAACTTTCTTCCATGGAAAAGATTGTTCATAGATGCTTTTAAACATCTTTGCAAAATCACTGTAGAGATCATCTGGGTTTTCATAGTATCCATTCCTAATTTTCTTTAGCGCTAAGAGGTTCCATTGAAAATTTTCAAAGTTTTCAATACTGAAATTCCTTACTCTACACATTTCTCCTGCTTTGTTAAATTTTACTCCTTTGAGTGTTAATACTAGTGCTTTGTGGTCCGAGAGAGCAGGTTCCATCACTCTGACTCTAGTTTCTTCTATATTAGTAATGATGTTATCCAAACAAGCATTCGATTTTATCCTCGTCACCTCCTCGACTAAAATTTCCAGATTGTTAGTTGCAATTAGTTCTAGCAGTCCCTTGCTCTCTTTAACCACTTGCTTACAATTAAAATTAAAATCACCACATAAGATTAATTTTCCTGCCTTGTTTCCCAATTCATCCACTAATTCCGCGATAACAGCAGAAAATTTTTCAATGCTTTCTTTGGTTGTATTAGGTACTCTAAAAATGTTTATTATTATTATGTTCTGGGTTATACAGTGTACTGCCGTAAGTTCTAATTCTCCCTCCCTTGAATATTTACTTATGTCTATTACTCTTAAGTCAATCGCATACGCTTCATTAACTAAAATTGCCACTCCTCCACAAGAAACTCCGTTTTTTGCAGGTTTTCTATAAAATGTAGTAATATAGCTGTATCCTGGCAGTGTTACGCATTTGTTTTCCCCTAGCCAGTGTTCTGCTACACATAATATTTTTGGCTTTACTTCATTCAAGAACACTTTCAGTTTCTCTATCTTTTTGGTTATCGATCTTATATTTATAAATACCAGAAATGTTTCCTCTTTTACACTTGATAACATTTCAGTCTCCTTAACATTAAACAGAGTCCTATTCACGTCTGACATAACATCACCATTACTTTGCAGAAAAAGATTTTTTTCTTTGTCATAGTCTACTCGTTTAAATTAATTACTTCACAGATCTTATCTATAATTCGCTTTTTCGCCCTCATGTTTCAATGAGACCAATGGGAAGCCTCCAAAACAGTTAGGAAGCATAAAATCAATCAATCAATAATAATCTTATGGGATCCACCGTATTGCTTTCAGGGACGTGTTGTAACCCGCGATGGACCGTTCGATCTAACATTTAAGGTAGGGTAAAAGATCGATATTCGGATCCAAATTACTTCACACTCGATAATTTACCATCGTTTTAAATAGAGTACCTGTATATAGCGAGAGTATAGACAGATGTGAAACTCCGAAAATCCATCAGGCCTTCACCGATGTCTCCGCGAATAAAGTTAGGGCCCAGAAATGCAGCCAACCTATGAATCTCAATTATCCAGAGCGCTTTACTAATACGGTTGATACGAACCATCGTAAACGCACACGAAGCACGCAATTGACTTAGTTTTTGTATACATTTACTCGTTTTTGCGGAAGAACGCTCATTTATGTATATTCTTAGCCATCATCATTTACAAATTTGAGTGATACATTAAAACTTTTGAAATCGATGCAGCTCAAACACAAAATGGTGTATTATAATGGAGGGACATTTTTGCCTTGACATATGCGCATACGGGGTTGGGTCGCGCACCGGCCAAGGGGCAGAGCCACCTAGTTTCCTATATGCACAGTCTTAAATGTTTGCTGTGATCTATAATCGAAGAGTGAAAGTTTCTGTCAGATTCGCCACCCTTTTTTGTGCTTCAAAATTTTTTCAGGTCCTATCGGCTCATGATGGAAAAAAAAAACTCTTTTTATACCTGTCTACTAAATTTTTTTTCTTTTTTTTTTCATATAGCCAGAAAAGTTCCATCGTACTCAAACGCAATAGTCGATTCACAGCTCTCTCTATGCTTAAATTATCAAGATATCCAATCGCTAGGTACTAATTTTTATCATTACATGTTTTGCAGGCTTTACAAGTTATTGGCAGTCGAAGAATCGAAGAAGCTGCTGAAAAACAAAAAAAGGAGTCAGAGCTAGCAAAAATTCAAATAAAAAAAGAAGATGTTGATCTAATCGTAAGTGAAAAATAAATAACATTTCAAAATAAGGCTTAAATTCGATCAGTTATAGAATGATAAAATAGTTCTTGGTTCACTCTACTTTAAATGGAAATTGAAGCCGAGATTTCCAAAAATTTAAACTTAAGTTACAAAATGAACTTGAATGCGTTTTTTTAGTACTAAACCCTGGGGGTGTTAAGCTGAATCTGGTGCATTGGATATGCTCTACTTGAGCTCTTATGAGAAGCTAGCCCTTTTTTTACATTATCCAAATGTTCTCAATTAAAGCCTACCTCAGCAAGTCTGTACAGCTTAAACAACAATAAACACCACCATGTCTACGATGTGGGGCATGACATGTAAGTACAAACCGTCTACCACCTGTTAGAGTACCTTTATAGACAGAGTATGGCCATTCGTATATTTTTACTACAGGAAAACTGTTCTGCTTTTTGATTGGTCAACGAGTTTTTAGGCTGCATGATGCTCTTACGGCCGTAAATAAACAAACGAAATGGCGGCTCACCTTAACATCGATAAGAAGCTAAAGAGCGACGCCGAGAATGGCACAATTTGGGCCAGCGGGGATTTTTCTGAAACCGGGCCTAAACGATACCTTATGATACCCTAAAAATCTGGTAAAAATTTTAGCTTGAGTATACGCACGGTTTTTAAGTTATGAGGGGGCAAAGTTGCCAAATCGCCATCATTCTGGACTGCATTTCTACAGCAAAAAGACGGGGAAAATGGACGAAAAAGTTACACCTTTGACGGGTTTCGGCTGTAAATGTTTTTATTGGGCCCCCAAACATTTAACTGTGTTCAGTTTCAAAAATTTTGGTCGCACAGTGGTCCAAAATGGGGAGAAATCGTCGACAAATCAGGATTCTTTGTCAAATTTTTAGAAATGGAAGTAAAATTGTCGGTCTGCTGCAGTTTTCATGGCTAACAATGTTCTTATCGGCCCTCAATGCATGAAATTGTGTTCAGCTTCACAAATTTACATCGCACAGTGGTCAAAAATGGGGGAATTAGTGGACAAATTAAGATCCTCTATCAAACTTTTTTAAAATGAAGTGAAACTGTTGGTCCCCAGTAGACTTAAGATCCCAGAAAAATTCTTTAAATTCTTTTTTTGACTATTTAAACCTTTTTTTAATTTTTTCTCTCCATTTTTTCTTCTTTTTTTTTTAAATTTCTGGAAGATTGCATATTTTATTGAGATAATGCTACAAAGTCTATTCTATAACAACGTTCTATAAACAATACGGTCTGACATGTAGTAATAATTAAAAAAAATCAAAAACATGAATTTTTCCGGGATCTAAACTCTACTGCGGACCAACAGTTTCACTTCATTTTTAAAAAGTTTGATAGAGGATCTCAATTTGTCCACTATTTCCTCCATTTTTGACCACTGTGCGATGTAAATTTGTGAAGCTAAGTGGCACAGTGGTCAAAAATGGAGGAAATAGTGGACAAATTGAGATCCTCTATCAAACTTTTTAAAAATGAAGTGAAACTGTTGGTCCGCAGTAGAGTTTAGATCCCGGAAAAATTCATGTTTTTAATTTTTTTTAATTATTACTACATGTCAGACCGTATTGTTTATAGAACGTTGTTATAGAATAGACTTTGTAGCATTATCTCAATAAAATATGCAATTTTCCAGAAATTTAAAAAAAAAAGAAGAAAAAATGGAGAGAAAAAATTAAAAAAAGGTTTAAATAGTCAAAAAAAGAATTTAAAGAATTTTTCTGGGATCTTAAGTCTACTGGGGACCAACAGTTTCACTTCATTTTAAAAAAGTTTGATAGAGGATCTTAATTTGTCCACTAATTCCCCCATTTTTGACCACTGTGCGATGTAAATTTGTGAAGCTAAACACAATTTCATGCATTGAGGACCGATAAGAACATTGTTAGCCATGAAAACTGCAGCAGACCGACAATTTTACTTCCATTTCTAAAAATTTGACAAAGAATCCTGATTTGTCGACGATTTCTCCCCATTTTGGACCACTGTGCGACCAAAATTTTTGAAACTGAACACAGTTAAATGTTTGGGGGCCCAATAAAAACATTTATAGCCGAAACCCATCAAAGGTGTAACTTTTTCGTCCATTTTCCCCGTCTTTTTGCTGTAGAAATGCTGTCCAGCATGCTGTGCGATTTGGCAACTTTGCCCCCTCATTTCTCAAAAACCGTGCGTATACTCAAGCTAAAATTTTTACCAGAGTTTTAGGGTATCATATGGTATCGTTCAGGCCCGGTTTCAGAAAAATCCCCGCTGGCCCAAATTGTGCCCGAAAACGGTCGTTTTTGGCGTCGCTCGTTCACAAAAATCTCAATTATGCGGCAGTAGCAATTTAAACTCGCATATCTACGAATAGCACACGAAAAATACATGAAAACATTGTTAAATCTCCTTTCACCTTTATCACAGGAGGACGTAAGATGTGCATAACCTCAATCTTGCTTGCTGATAACAGCCATCTTGTTTGTTTATTTACGGCCGTAAGACTATCGTGTCAGCCTATTTTCACGCGACCAATGAAAAACCGGAATAGAAATGGCCATACTCTCTCTATACTTAAAGGTACTCTACCACCTGTCATTACTTTTGTGCAATGAGTCAGTTAAGTCATTTTTTTTTTTTTTTTTTATTGTGTCATTCGAAAGTAGTAAATGACCGAAGCTTACAGTTTTTTTCCTAATTTTTTTTTGATGACAGCAAACGGGAGAAAAGTTTATTTGAAAGTGCCAAAAATTAGGGTAGTCTATAACGGCGTTTGAACCGCGCGCTCGTAGGTTTTGAATGTACACGTCACGATCAATACGGCGGCGGAATGCGTAGTGGAAGAATACACGGTGGCAATGCGTTGGCGGTGTGATTTTGTTGGTCAATTGGAGGTTATGTAGATGTTCGAGATTCATATCTATTGTTCTTAATTCTCTAAGCTTTTCAATCAGAATGCGATACAGATGTATGTAGGATATGAAACTTACACACAGAACTTACTTAACCTCAAACGAGAAATCGTGATGTCAACAACGGCAGCGTGGCGGTTGTAAGCAGGTCGGCTTCGGCGCCGCCATCTTTCCGTTCTATGACGCGTAGATTCGAAGATTCACGGCGGTCGGTTCAAACATGTTTTCGGGGACCCCTAAAAAGGAAGCGTTATATCTCCGCGGAGACAATTCTTCGTGACATTTTAACATGCGCATCCTTCTTATCGTACCGAAAACTGTAAGATCCGACGATTTGCAGGCCAATCTCTCCCGAGCTTAACTGACTCATTCAGCTGTGATAGCAAAGAGAGCTCTAACTCTCAAACCATCAAAATGGAGTTTCCATGCGTACTCCTATAATCTCTTTTATATGAAATCCCTGAAACCATTAAAAGAGCAAAATTAGTCTCATTCTTGTGAAAACGTGATCTATGAGACAGCTGCGAGAGCGGAAAAATTGACGCTGTTACCCACCAACAAAACATTCTCTAGAGATATTATTTCAGCAGAGAGCTAATGAGAACTGCATTATTGAGTACAATGGTGCCCTTTTCTGCCAATTCCTAACCCTAAAATGTGTATGTTGTGCGTCCGAAACACAACCGTGAGAGCATATAGGAGATGGTGCTAATAGCTGTCTTGCCTAACATATTAATGATAAAGACCCTTTAAATGAAGTTGTAAATAAAATTCGCCGATTTTCAATCACCCATAGTATTCGCATGGATCCTCTGGTTGTTACTTGACAATTTCATGAAAAACGGAAGACCAGTCATTAACTTTTTTCGCTCGGACATTGCAAGCAAGGAGTATTCTAAAAAGTAGCGCGAAGATTTTTACATTCTTTTCCTCCGAAGAATTTTTCAATTTTCCCTTCAAATCATCGTCTCAACGGGGCCGGACATGTAATGTACGATCCCATTTTGGTCGCCTCTCGGCTGCTTCGCGCGTAGGATTGACGCGACGGCTTTACTGCTCGAGCACGTTTTTGCTCGATTTGTCTTAAGTAGCGGCGCGAGGCGAGCTTTTCCCAGGCCGCATTTTTTGGCCCGAGATTCGATTTCTTGACCATTGGACGCCTCGTCCGCTGTCGAGCAATCGACGTGCCGGGATCTAACGTACAGCCAAAGGCCTGCAGTCCTACGCGGGAGTAGTTGAGAGTTGAAACATTGTAAAAGCGAAGTCTTACGCAGTACGTTTTAAACACTTTTAATGCGGTCAACATACCACCCGCGATTTTTTTGCGGAAATGTCAACTAAAAGGCCCACTGATTGCGGAACAACAAACCGCGAAATCTGTAGTTTGGCCGTTTTTGAGAAAATGCGATTTTTCGCTTTTTTGGCGGAAATTTCGAGTCAAGGCGCTGAAAAAGTCAAGTTAGGTTGTTTTTGTGGCTCGTAAATGCATATCCTATACATTTTTAGTTAATCACGTGCCAGTAGATAGCTATTCGTGCATATTGCCCAAAATTCATATCCTTAAATCCACGACTTTCGGGTTTTGGGGGGGTTAGTCAAGGAGAATAAATCCGAAAAAAAGAGGGTTAACCCGGAACAACTTGCTTAACAAACTTTTCCTATGTAAACGTCTTTCAGTAGGTCTTATTGAACAACATACCAAAAGTTTACCACTGTTAGATCCCGGAACACCCCCCCCCCCAAGTACCNCCCCCCCAACGTTCCCTAAATTTCAAAATGGCGGCCATATAAGGCCTCTGGGAGTTCGATTTTTTTTAAAATACGTAAACAGTGTCATATGTGGTGTCGATTCCTATGTAATTTTAGTCGTAGATTTCAGATATAAAGTCAAAAAAGTCCTCCGGTCAAAGGGGGGCAACCCAAATCCAGGATGGCAGCCAATTTTGAAAGACAAAAGGGTGGATTATTAAAAAGTTCGCGTGATAATGCAAGTGAGGTGTCATTTCTAATGTAATTTTGGTCGTAGATTTCATTTATGAAGTCATAACATCCCTCTAGTCAAAGGAATTGCTCCAAATGCCAAGATGGCGGCCAGATTTGAAAGGCAGGAGGGTAAATTTTTGAAATGTTTACGTGACATCCCTAGTAAAAGTCAATCAACCTGATGTCAGGCTATGCTTAATAAACTACCCTGAGTCAGACTGATATCAGCCTGAATTAGGCTGACTCACGGTAGTTTATGAAACATAGCCTGACGTCAGGTTGATTCACTTTTACTAGGGATGTCACGTAAGCATTTCAAAAATTCACCCTCCTGCCTTTTAAATCTGGCCGCCATCTTGGCGTTTGACTTGAGGGATGTTATGACTCCATAAATGAAATCTACGACCAAAAATTACATAAGAAATGATACCTCACTTGCATTATCACGCGAACTTTTTAAAAATCCACCCTCTTGTCTTTCTAAATTGGCTGCCATCTTGGATTTGGGTTACCCCCTTTTGACCGGAGGACTTTTTTGACTTTATATCTGAAATCTACGACTAAAATTACATAGGAATCGACACCACATATGACACTGTTTACGTATTTTAACAAAAATCGAACTCCCAGAGGCCTTATATGGCCGCCATTTTGAAATTTAGGGAACGTTGGGGGGGGGGTGTTCCGGGATCTAACAGTGGTAAACTTTTGGTATGTTGTTCAATAAGACCTACTGAAAGACGTTTACTTAGGAAAAGTTTGTTAAGCAAGTTGTTCCGGGTTAACCCTCTTTTTTTCGGATTTATTCTCCTTGACTAACCCCCCAAAAACCCGAAAGTCGTGGATTTAAGGATATGAATTTTGGGCAATATGCACGAATAGCTATCTACTGGCACGTGATAAACCAAAAATGTATAGGATATGCATTTACGAGCCACAAAAACAGCCTAACTTGACTTTTTCAGCGCCTTGACCCGAAATTCCCGCCAAAAAAGCGAAAAATCGCATTTTCTCAAAAACGGCCAAACTACAGATTTTGCGGTTTGTTGTTCCGCAATCAGTAGGCCTTCTAGTTGACATTTTCGCAAAAAAATCGCGGGTGGTATGTTGACCGCATTAAAAGTGTTTAAAACGTACTGTGGCTTACAGTTGGAGTATATTGAAAGTTGTAGTGGGAAGCTGCTCTGGAAGTGAGGGGTGGGGTTTTTTAGTCTTAATATACAGGGTGATCCAAAAGTCTTTCCTAATGGAATGGATGGCGACCATTTTGGAAATTTCGATTTTTTTTAAAATCTTACGTCAAATTCGTTTTTCTCATGTCCAAATACCCGTAGATCCCGAGTTTGGCGCAAATTCATCGAAAAATAACTGGTGTGAAGTTTCGGCCGTTTTGAACTTTAACCGTCCTCCATTTTGAAACGGTTTGAGTATTGACTTCGGGTTTGCGCGAAAAGTTTTCTTTTTTTATGCTCTTTCGTACGAGCTATCACAAGGGGGGTCTCCCCCTTTGAAAAAAAAGTTGGGGTCCGTTGCCCCCCAAGGAGGGCCCTCCTGAAAATTTTAGGGGAGCCAAAAAGTCCCCTAGGGGGGTCCTAGGGGAGCCCTTTGACCTAGAAACATTCTCCAATCAAATCTTTACCTCAATTAGGTGAAACTTTAGATTAGGTGGATGGGACTTTTGGACCACCCTGTATACCCAGTCGCTGTATTCCAGTTTGTGCCCTGTTCCTCAGCTCCATCGCCCTTACCACCTGAGCCCTTCCCCCCTTACAGTCGCATCACACCCAAATATTTTCTTAAGCCTGAAATCTCAACATAATACCCGCGAAGTTAAGGAAGCGTATTTCGGAATTATTCGGACATTCTGTATTTCGGCTGAAACCAGTGAACGATGTTTTTCTAACCACCACCACCCCCCCCCCAATTTTTTGGACGCCTTATTAGTTTTTGGTATCCATCCAGTCGTTTCCTGGAGCTGAATTCTAGTATTCATTCTACTTTCAACGTATCTAATTTTATGTTTAGGTGAAAGAAATGGAAATATCTAGGACCACAGCGGAACGGACTCTAAGAGAACATTCGGGAGATGTTGTTAAAGCTTTAACAGCCCTTGTAGACTAAAAGACTTTCAAAGCGCTGATACAATTCTGCCTATTTCAATTTGCCGTCCGGCCGTGGACACTCTTCTCCGTTCCTGACGGTACTCGATTTTTTTGTTTTTTCTTTATACTCCTGTTATTTTGACAGGTAATTAATGAGCCATTCTTTTCAATCTCATTAACGCTTAAAGTCCTAAGTACAGAAATCAAAACGATTTGTAGAGCAAACTTGTAATATTTGAATTCCTTTTTGTACAGATGCCTAATATATGATTTTGCCAATCATGTCTACAGCCTCTTATTTTCGCGTGTATTCCTGTTAATTTCGAGCTTTCATACAAATGGTGTAAATAAAGTCGCTCCGACAACGCACTCTGGCGTTTTGCGACACCTAAACGCCACATATGCCTATCTTCCGAGTGATTATCGGGCAACTGACACCGCATCATCTCTTCGTCAACGCCCTGCCGTCATCTCTTTATGGGACGTCCCCGTCGCCTCTTCCGAGGTGGTACCCAATCTAAAACTTGTTCGGGTAACCTCTCCTTTGACATTCTTTGCACGTGTCCATACCAGCAGGACGTCGTGCCCGATATCTCTTTCAACCTTCATCACCTGACAAATTCTCTCATTACGGATACGGTCCTATCTCGAGATGCCGGTAGATCGCCGCCAAAAATCCGTTTCGGTTGCCCTCGACGTTTCTTGCGTTCTTTTCGTCAAAGGCCACAGTTCACTACCATAGATCACGATAATTTCAACGATGGCGTCTTATATCCGGTGCTTGTTCGCCTTTAAAATGCTCTGATCCCAGAGCAGCCCGTTCAGCATCGCAATGGCTCTACTGCCCTGGATGATCCTGTCCTTAATCGCCCTATCCATCCTTCCATCCTAATCTAGCCAGACATCGAGATTCTTATACTCGTCACTTTCTTCGATGCGCCGCATTCGATGAGGATAGACGGCCCTCAAGCTCTATGCTTTGCCGTTGATGCGCTGCTCCCACAACCAGCTTTTCTGTCTTGGATACACTAACATCCAAGCCCCATTTCCCATATTCTTCTGCCAATTTCCACACCATGTAATCCGCATCTTCTTTATCTTGAGCTATTACGATCTGGCCATCGGCAAAGCATAGATTTTAAAGGGTCCGTCCATCAAGGAGTGGAACGCCCATCCCCGCAACCTTCCTTTTCCATTCCTTCAACACGTGCTCTAGGTTTATATTAAATAATGTTGGTGACAAACAACAGCCTTGTTTTAACCCTTTTGTGACGAAGAATCCTCGGGACAACACCCCGTGAGTTTCCTACAAACGATAATCCCAAAAATTCCCGGACTACCGCTTAAATTCCGGATTTAAGATAGCTATTGAGCTGACCTTGGTTATAGTTAAAAGCCTACATCATTCCTGATCGATCGAGACTCATAACCGTCTCATGTGCTCAAAAGTTGACAAAATGATGAGGTTTTGAGCGGAAGAAGCAAAGCTCTCGCCTACAAATTGTAACGGATAGTTGGATTGCATTTTGCAAAAAAAAAAAAACAAAAAACAAAAAAAAAAAAAAAAAAAAAAAAAAAAAAAAAAAAAAAAGACCACTCGTTGTTGTGCTCTGGAGCGAGACGGTCGCGCTTCAGCTCACGCCGGATCAGTATTTTTCAACAAATTTTCGGAAAGAAAATCACCAGCATGTGATTCTGCTGGAATCGAGAAAAGTGCTCGCGTCGCGGTGTTCTAGCGGCCGGGTCCCGAGTGATATTAGTGCCAGTGTCATCATAAACAATAAACAATCGTATGGCATACCGGCCTGTAGTGTGTAAACACGGTGTCAAGTGTAGTTACGTCAGCAACGTTTTTCTCGGGTGCGAAAAATGTCTAAAGCGGGGATTGCTCATCGGCCTACCTCGAATGAAACTAGACACGTTGCCAAATAGCCAAATGGAAAATCAAAATCCGTTCGGAAGAAGAGAACTTCTCCCGAGGTCTCCGCCCCCCCCCCCTCAGTCTGCAAGGGCGGATGATAACCTCTCTCTTACTGCTACGGAGTCAAGCTTGACAGCGGTGGCGTCGTTAGAAGATAAAGAAACAATTATTAATTAAATTTTAAACACCAGCATTGATCCTGTTCTTCAGAACCCTACCATTCATAAATCAGTTTAAAGTTTTTTGACCAAGGCGCAAAATATGGTCAAAACGCTGTACAGTGACAAAAATGAACTGGCGAATACAATCAATTCCCTTGAAGCAGAAAATGCGAAAAAAATACAGAAATTACAGGAACAAATTAATGCAATTAGCTCTGCAAATGCAAGCTCTTGAGCTAGAGATGCCTATCTACAATCTGCGAAAGAGTTAGTTAAAAATAACTCTCGTAAGCCCTCAGGGCAATCTAAGTTAACACAGTTCGCCACTGCGAAACCAGTTACACCAAAACCAGGTACATCTACAACACCTGTTTCTAACCAATTTGCCTCGCTGGAAGATGACGTGGAATCTAATCACGATGCTGATGACTCTGAATCTTCAAACACATGGGTCGACTACAACTCGGATCCCGAATTTAACTCCAGACGGAAAGCTATCCAATCTCAAAGAAGGAAGCGTAAGAGAGCGAGTACTTCAGCTTCAAGTGGCCATACCGATAATCAACAAACCAAACCGGGTGAGAGCGCTCCAGTTAAAGTGAATATACCTAATCCTAGTGTATCCATAAGATTGTTGGTATTTGTTCTATGGTTGTAAAAGTAGAACCCATTAAAGTTAGTACTACTAAGATACTACAGTGTCGAAAATGTCAGAATTTCGGACATTCCCAAGCATATTGTGGTAAGCAAGCACGTTGTGTAAAGTGCGCAGCTAAACATTTATCCGCAGAATGCCCTTGGGCGAAGCGCATTATCAACCCTAAGTGTGCAAATTGTGGGGTAACAGGTCACCCAGCTAGCTATGGAGGATGCCCCTTCGCGAAAGCGATGCAAAAAGACAGAGAAAAATCTATTAAAATGAGAAAGGGAAAGATCGATGGGTCTAATTTTCCTAACTTCCCAGATAAACCAAATAAAAAGAAAAAAAGGGGGAAAAATCCTCCTAGTGCTATTAAACAAGGAGTTAGCTTCGCCGACGCAGTATCCGGCCCGAAACCCTCAAATCAACAGGAAGAGCTCGTAAGTCAACTCTTAATGACCATTGAATCATTAAGGAAGCAACTAGAGGAGATGAGTAAGAGACAGGAAATATACGAACAGGCTCTTATGAGCCGAGTGTTGAGTTCTCGATAAAATGACTAACAAAAGTGAAAGCATTCTTAATCTTATCGCATGGAATGCGAATGGATTAAAACCTCCTAAACTCTTAGAATTTAGTGAAAAAATGGCAAAATTACGTGTAGATATAGCATTGTACTCTGAAACTCATTTTGCTAGGGAATCGAGAGGATACTTGAAAGGATATAGATTTTATAATTCACGACATCCTTCTAATAACGCAAGGGGGGGGGGAGCCCGGGAGCCTCTATTGCTATCAGGGAAAACATTAAACACTCCGTTCTTGAAATTGTAGAAAAAGAACGTTTCCAAGCGGTGATTATTCAAATTGAGTCATCGCTGGGGCCATTTAATGTCAGCGCTATATACGCTCCACCGCGTCATCGATGCTCAGTTGACGATTATTCTGGTTTACTTGAAAAATTGGGTCCTCCCTTCCGTATCGGGGGGGACTTCAACTGTAAAAACGTCAGATGGAGTTCGAGATTAACTAACCCGAAAGGTGTTAATCTTAAAACTGCAGTCAATCTTATCGGAGGTGATTTTATCTCTCCGGGTAAACCCACCTTCTATCCAGGTAATCCATTGAAAGAGCCTGACGTACCTAGTTGATTTTTTCATCTTCAATAATCTCAATCTCAATAACACAACTTCTTGCAATGTGTTAGAGGGGAAAAAGATCATGTGCCGGTTTTCTTATCTATATTTGCTACTCCAGTATTGGTTAAACGCGCACCCTGTCTAGTTTCTACTCAAACAGACTGGAAAAATTTTCGAGAGTTATTAACTTCCCGTATTAATAACTCGACTTTAGTAAACGACTGCTCCACACTTGATAAGGAGGCAGAATCTTTAATTTCGAGCATCCAAGAAGCCGCAAAAGCAAGCACGCCGGTTGCTCGAACTTTTAATAATTTACATCATAAATGCACTCTTCCAAAGGAAATACTCAGCCTTATTGACCGCAAAAACAAAGCGGGAAGGAGGAGACGGATTACTCACCATGAATCTCTACAATAGACTAAACAAGGCAGTGGAGAAACGTAATAATGAATTTCGTAATGAAAAATTTGAAAATTTTGTAGCTAACCTCAGCCCAAGCGAAGCTAATGATTACACCCTTTGGAAAGCGACAAAATCCCTATGACGTCCTTTCCTAGCTAGCTTCCCTATTAGAAAACCGGACGGTGAATGGGCAAATAATAGCCAGGAAAAAGCCCATACCATTGCCGATCACCTTGAAAAAGTATTTCAACCTAACCCCTGCGAATCTCCAGAGAAGGAATGCGAACTAGAGGAAGAAGTTGGTAATATTAATTTTCTCCCTGCAGAAAAAATCAACAAAATTACGTACGACGAAATTTTCAAGGAAATTAAATATATATAAAACAAAAATCAAGAAAAGTCCAGGTTTTGATCTTATCTCAGCAATTATCATCAAGCAACTTCCTCCTGCGGCAATCAATAAGTTAGAAGCACTCTTTAATGCAGTGATGTTATTGAAATACATTTCTAGTCAATGGAAATTGGCTGAGGTGATTGTTATTTTAAAATTCGGAAAACCTCCTTCAGCCCCTAGTTCGTACCGCCCTATCTCCTTACTTCCCCTGATATGCAAACTTTTTGAGAAGTTATATACTAAACGTTTACTGGCAATTGTAAATAAGAAAAAGTTACTTCCTAATGAGCAGTTTGGTTTCAGGGCTAAACATAGCACAATAGAACAATTACACCGGATCTCTTCTTACATTGAAACGGCGCTAGAGGAGAAACAGTTTTGTAATGTAGTTTTCTTGGATGTCGCCCAGACATTTGACAAAGTCTGGCATTCTAAAGTGGCTTTTAAACTTTCAAAAATCTTGCCTGGGAACCACGTGCAATTAATAATGTCTTATTTAGCAGATAGATCTTTTAGGGTTCGATTTGAAGACTCTTACTCTGAATTTAGGAAAATAAGAGCAGGGGTACCTCAAGGTTCAGTACTCTCCCCCCCAATCTTTAGTCTCTTTACTGCTGACGTACC